TTTTTTTTTTTATTATGTACCAATTGAATTGTGTGTGCTAGAATTTATTTGGCATTGAATGTCAACTGTGTTGGCTTTTTAAATTCAGTATTGTGAAGGCCGATCCTGGTTATCAACTTGACATACCTAAGAAGAGAAACCCTCAAACTGAAAAAACCCATCAGGTTCAGACAGGCTTGTGGCCATATCTGTGAGGCATTTTCTTGGCTGCTAATTGATTGATAGAAAAGGGACCAGCCTACTGTGTGCCCTGCTGCCTCTGGACAGCTGGGCTTTGGCTTTCTTTGGGTAGCTGAACTTGAGGCAGGAAGCAAGCTGTCAGTTGTGCTCTTCAGTGGCTTCTATTTCAGTTCCTGCCTCCAGGTTTCTGCCTGATGCTGCTGTCCTGGCCTCCACAGATGATGTTTATAGCCTATAAACCGAGATAAGCCCTTTCTTCCTCCAAGTGTGCTTTGTTCTTTCCTTTTCTTCTTTTCCTTTTCTTTTTTTTTTTTGTGTTATTTTATTTATTTATTTATTTTTATTTATTTATTTTGGTTTTCCGAGACAGGGTTTCCCTGTGTGGCTTTAGAGCCTATCCTTTAGAGCCAGCTCTGGAGCCCAGGCTGGCCTCGAACTCACAGCGGTCCCCCTGCCTCCGCCTCCCAAATGCTGGGAGTAAAGGAGGGTGCCAGGCGTGTGTGCCACCACTCCCATCCATGTTGCTTCTTTTGGACATGCTACCCATGGAAGAGTTTAGTTGAAAACCAGGTTGTTCTTCCTTAGCAATTCCGCCTAGGGAGTGCGGAGAGGAGCCCAGAATGGCGGGGGGCAGGGCAGTGAGGAGGGGCACCCAGTCCAGACGGGAAGGGGCCTCAGGACTCGGGGGTCAAGTGCCGCGAGTGGCGTCTACACCGAGATGGGGGGATAGGTGCAATTCGATGGGCTCTGTCCTGAGAAACACTGAAGCCACACCCTGATGGGTGTTCCCTGTGTCACAGCAGTCATGTGTGGAGACGGGGTGACTGTGTGTGGAGACTGGGGTGACTGTGTGGAGGCTGGGGGGGCGTGTGG